TGAAGTTTTGGGAGACATTCTTTTTACTTTCCGAGTTTGAATTTGTATCAGCCCAAGTGTCTAACGATGGCTGGGATAGGCCGAAATGATCATAACACTTTAGTGATACTGATTCGAGCACGGGAAGTTTTAGCGAATTTGTCTCCGAGGCCACAGCCACCTTTACTTCCAAGCCATAAAGCAAAAAAGGCAACACCGCATTCTATGACGTCGGTAGTCCGATAATCAGCTGTAAGGTCTACCAGAAAATTAAACTAATTTATTTGAATTTTAGGAAACTGATATTTTGAAAACTTTAATTCATTACAGAAATATTTTTAGGGAAATTAAATTAATAAAACCTTATATATACCTAATAAATCTATATAAAGTTTTATTATCATTAAGGTTATATTATCAATAAAATAATCATTAGAGTAAAATTTATTGCACTTAAAATACAGTGTCAAACAGTTAATCTTACAATCAAATGCAGTCAAGAATCTCTAGAAATTTTAAATATTAAGTACTTAAGCATATAAATAACACAATACATTAACACGACATTTAAAAAGATTATTAAAAATACAAAAGATATAAAATTTGTTAAGCAAAAACTTAGTTTAACTATTATGATTAAAAAATTCATCCTAAGAAATCAGACACAATATAAATATGGTTCTAAATTAATCTAATTGTAAATTAAATATTTTACTATTTACTATTATTTTACTATTACTTTTGTTGAATTTTCATACTTAGGTATACGAAAGTAGCAATTTTATATATGGATAGGTTTTTTGTCATATAGACCAAGTTAAAAGAGGTATACATGAAAAATGTGTTGAATGTAACATACCATTTATAACTTGTATATCGATTTAAAATAGCCTATATTCTCAGAAGATTTTTGAATGTAATGCTCAAATTTGTTATCAGTTATCTAAAAAGCAGATCTATATCGAGAAAGTAAGTTCTCTAATTGTGAACATTTTGTTAATTTACTATATTGTAAAATCCATTTCAAATCATTACTACTTAATCTATTCTTACCTACATTGACGATTACACTAAAATTACTGGTAACTATTACACTACTTATTACACAAATATTATCACACTCGTGTCCCAACTGATTAATGTTTAATACATAGAAATATACACAGTCACTTGTAATTTTACTTGTCCAGTTTTTCAATGGGATATTATTGTCTAAGACTCTTAAAAATGATTCAAATGAATCTATTAAATCATTGTCTAAGAATTCTGTTATCTATTGTTCCCTCTTCTTATGCAACAAGTGTCTTCTGTCTTCGGGATTCCATCTTTCTTTAGTACGATGAACAGTTACATATGATGGTACTTCAGAAAATATATTAGGAACTGCATTGTCTTTTAATTTGGGAAATATTAACTTTTCAATGTGTACATTTCCATCTTTATCTTCTCATTGTTCAGTCTGCTGAATAGGTATCATCTTCATGAAAATGTTTGGCATATACTACAGAAGATTTGGTAATTGTATAGCCTTCTCTATGAATAGAGCATAACCCAGTATACCTTCGTTGGGGATCTTTGGGAAACAAAAACATACTTTCTGCCTGTTTCGTTTTTAAAGTACTGGCATAATTGGTTTTGCTACCAGGTACACAACAATGCCAGGGCATCTGTAACAAAAAACAAAAGTATTATTATTGTTGTTTTTAGTTTACATATTTTGTAACAAGAAGTAAAAGTATTATTATTTTCAGTTTGTTTTGTAGGTTATATTTATACTTGCCTTTTAAATTGTCGTTAAGAATCTTCTAAACTTAATGAAATTTCACTTATATTAATATTTTCTAATTGATTTAAACACAATTTACAAATAAAACATTCGAATAAGGTTAAAAAAACACTAAATTCAACAAACTTTACAAGCCTTCCTATATGAAATGTTAAATAAACAAAACAAACCACGGTCGGAGTGGTCGGACTACCACGCGTTGTTGCCAAATTTCTACTTCATGGCTTGGAAGTAAAGGTGGCTGTGCCTAGGCCATATATTTGGCCATTTAATATAATAAAATATAATAAAAGCGATAGCGGCTTTCGCTAAAAGATTTAATCTTTTACATATATCTTTACTATCCCAGCTTTTACTACAGCTGGTAACTGAGTTACCAGCTGTAAGTCAGTTCGTTTGAAGAGGTTTAGTCTCCGGACACTGGAACTCACTTCAAACATATTACCTGAAGTCAAATTCAATTTAATATTTAACATCACATTTTAATGACAACAATATGTACAATCTTTAAGAACTACATGTAATTTAAAGGGTTTTTACCCTGGTATTTTTGTGGCTCAGGCATTTTAACCTAGCAATTTTAAACCTGATGATGGACTGTTTAGTCCGAAAATGTTTCTTTTTTTGATGTAGCCCTTTTAAGGATTTTTTAAATAAATATACCCATTTATGAAGACTAACCTCTTTTTTGTGATACGTGGTATACAGCCAGCTACAGGAATTGTTTTCCTTGTGGATTTTGAATTAAAAATGATAAGTACTTATATGAAACCAAAATTATCTTTTATTCAAATTTTATAATGCGTTCACATAAAAAAAATCTGATAATTATGTAAGTAAAAGAATAAAAATAAAGTCACACCACTGTTATTTAGTTCATAGATAATCTTCACTATTAAATAAAAAAGTATAAAATTGGAACAACCTCGATTATTTGAAAATAATCAATAAAAAAATTTAAAATATTTGTTAAGAACTTCTTGGGTAGCCTCCAGTCAAGAGTTTCCTTTATAATGTTTCAAAAGTATATGAAATGCACTGTAAAAACTAGGCGACGACATACTTCGCAATTATATTAACTTAAAGGTACACAGGTATGCACCCTTACGGGAAAAAAGATTAATCATACCATTACATCATATCACATTTTAATGTTGAATATTTGATGGTCCCCTTTGGGTTATAAAACTGATGATCAACTTTTTCCCGCACTTATGCAGGCATATATACCTTTACAAAGGAAGTTGTACATAACTTGATCGTAATCCATATTTGCAAAGCATGGGTTAGTATATACAGTGTATGTTTTTTAAATAAGATCAGGGAAAATTTTTTCTGGATATTATAGAACCGTCTATGGCCATCATATATTTTTACTGCAATATATCACATTCTATGGCGCATGCATTCGCATGCACAGAGAAAAAAAGGAAGCAGAAGAAAATAAAAACAAGAAAAAAATCTGAGAAGCATTAAATTTAAGCTTCTCATGGCTCTATTTTCCTTGTTTTCTTTTCTTACCAATTTTTTTAAAGTAAATTATCAAACTTAAGTGTAAACTGATTTAAATGGGGTCCATGGTGTACTTTAGGGATAGTTAAGTATATAAAATTACTTTGGGATTCAACTGTTTATTAAACTAGACAGGTTAAAAATTACGTTGAGATAATAGAATGAGTAACAGCTCATATTGTCAATACTCTTGGCAGACAACAAACCTTATTCTCCAGGTTTTCTAATATCACAAGTTTTTAACAATTTTTCTCCTAAAAATGAAATTTTAGAAACGAAGTAAACAAGATTTTATCTGGTAAGTAAGGTTTCATTGGAATTATTAAGGAATAAAGAGTTATTTCGCTCTCCTGAAAATGACGTTATTAAGGCATGTTGCTCTCACAGTGACGATACACAATTTTTACAACGATCTTTGTAAATATTTTGTCCTGTTCCATATAATCAACAGACAAATAATATAATTCCATTCAAGTTTATGTGGTGATTATAGTTCGGAATTTTTTTTATTTTGTTTTTAGTATGAGAGTTGTTTTTAAAAGGCATGCAACAACCCTCTTGCAAATTCTCTCAATAAGGAAACTGTCAACAGTTATATTAAAAAAAATGTAAGCTATTTATTGAAAGCTTCACATCTATCAGCAATTTATTATATTATTAAAATGGGAAATAATGGATGTAATAAGATAAAAATACTTCCTCAGTATCTCCTCAGCTATTCATTCTCTTTCTCATGAGGTATAAACACATGTTCCAAGGTCAGGAAAAATATGATGCTGAGTTGAAGATGAAGGTAACTTCAGGACAATCAACTCTGACTTTAAAGATAAAACTCAATCAAAATTGTTCTTCCAGAAAGGGCTAAAAGATTTGATCAGATCTGGATTTTCCCAAAGATGCTGCTAATTTACATGAATTCTGACTCAAGAATAAAAAAGTATTACTACCTGAATTATCATATTCTAGATTCACATATGGTAAAAATAACTTTGTGCTTAATTTTACCCAAGAAACAAGTCTAGCTTATTGTAGTGTCATTAAAAATTAGATTGTTCAATTTAAAATACAGTATGAATCCACCCAAAGGTGTGTCTTTATTGACTCATTAAATAAAAAGAGTAGCTTAATACACCATATTGGTGGTTTTGCTGATTCTATTCTTGTTGTACATTCTGTTCTTGAAAAAGATATATAAAAACTTGACAATCATTCTTCAAAAACTTAAATATGAAGGCCATGATTAGGCTACAAGCTGGTTACATCAAATTCCATTTTTTTTTCTATGTCTATGGAGCAGTTGGAAAAGTTTCAGCCAAAATGATATATGAATGAACATTAACATGAACAATCAGCTAGTTGGCTGAAGCGCTACCAGTTTATAACAACAAATAGTTTCTAAAAAAAACTATTGGGAAAAACCAATACCCAATTTGTGACAAAAAGTGAGATCCTAGGACAAAATGATTTGGATTCAGCCCATCACAAACCATATAAATCAGTTAAAAGCCAATTTAAAATTTGTTTCTACAAAGTGCCAATAAATGAACATCTACAGGTTAAAATAATTTTCTATCAATAATTTTTTTAAACAAATTTCCAGATTGGACATCAAAAACTACAAGAAATGTAAAATGTAATATTTATTGCAATCAATTGTGCATTAATGATAGATTAAATTAAAGATTTACCATCTCTTTACATATTTTTTTATTACTTCACTCACCTGAGTTATCTTCATCTGGTTCATTCTTCAAGTTTCCAAGATCAATGGATGTAGTTAGCTGACTTTCTAGATCATATCCTTGCTCATCTTGAGCAAGTTCTTTCTTAATTTCAGCTTTTATTTCTATTTCTAATAAATACAAATTAATCAAATTGCTTACTAAGTTTTATTAGTTATCTTACCAGGTTTGTCATCTGGTTTATCCTTACAAGCTTCAATATTATTTGTTGATCTGTGTAACTGACTCCCTAAATATCTTTCACTAGATTCAAAAAAACCTTCCTTAACTTCAACTTTAAATTCCATAGCTAAAATATAAACTAATTAAAAATATTGGAAACATATAAAAATATGATGGGGTAATTTTAATACTAAGGGTAATAGGGGATGGTAAATACAAGCTAAAATTTGAAATATTTGTTATGTATGGCTTCCTACTCACTTTATAATGCTCGATAATGGTTAAGTAACTTTAAGGCAGCTTTATGCAGGAAGAATATAGTGTGGGCGGTGCCTTTGGGCTTTGATTTTGATTCATTCATAGATTATGCTTTGAATTTGATTTCAAGCTTCAAAAGCAAAGTCTTCAAGTGCTGACTGCTGAATACCATAGATCATAGTACATGTAAGGTAACTCCCATATAAAGTTTTGGAAGAGAGTTTCTAGCGCCAAATACGGACGGGCCGAAACTAATTTCATTTGGCGGCAAATTCAAAACGTAAATTCAGAATTTTAGGCGACAAATTCAAAAAATATGCTCTGAATTTTAGGCGCCAAAATTCAAAAAGTATGTTTTTAATGGAAAGTAAATATAGTCATAAAATAAAAAATAAAAACTTATTCTATGCCAGAAATATATCCTCTCTGTCCAAAAATATAGTATACACCTACACATTTTTATATATATAAATGTATAACATAATATCTGATACAGAGAGAGTATATATTATGGTACAAGAAAGTTTTTATTTAATATTTATGATTATATCTGTTTTCCATTACATTAACAAACCAAGTCTCAAAAATAACAAAATAAAACACAAACATCCTGACACTTGTTTATTTGTATAATTTTCTTTGGTAAAGTATTGGCAACATATCCTCCTCCTCCTCCTTACTTAAGCCCTTGTTAAGGTGTGGGTGGAGACACTCTAAATATTGTTAACTTGCTGTCTCCATTGGCTGCAATTTTGTACCAGATGAACAACTTCCTGAAGGGATTTTTCCACCAATCTTCATTTAATCTTTCCATCATGTTGTGAGATCGTCATTTTGATATACAAAATATAGATACCTCTATATTTATTAGCAATGGTTTGTAGTAAGTTCCATACCTTCTAAAATACTTTTCCTTAAAGTACCATATGTAGATAATAAAGTGTAAACCCTAGCATGTCTGCGATCTTGCTCTTCACAATGATTGGCATGTGACTCAATGTAACTGTTACTCAGAAGTAGAAGATCCATGAAAATCTAAAATAATGAAATATTATTAAAATTAAGAATGTATTGACTTTTTTTATAAAATAAGGCCAATTTTAGGAATGCAATTAAAAGAGTCATAAGAGTTTTTTTTATAAAATAAGGCAATGTTTAGGAATGCAGTGATAAGAGTTAAGAGTTTTAATGAGTTTAAAATCTATACAGTATATAAATATAAGATTAATGTTAGTTAAGATTGAAAGGTAAATTAACTACAAAAACAAAATAGTATAAAGTTTGTATTTACTAAAAGTTTGGTATAATTAGATGCTGTTCTTACCTGGTGCTTGTAAAAATAAACTCCTAATCCTCAGAATGTTTAATAGCCGTTTGTCCAATAACTTTCACCCATCAACAAAAAATATTCTTTGGAAATACTATACCATTTTGGTAATGTACCTTCTTCTTTAGCAGGTCTATTAGATATATAAAATTTGATGTATACTGTTTTTATCGTCTATTTCTAAAATTTGGGATACGGACTATTGTAAACAGTGTGGTGTAGAATTGTTTATTTTCCTCATAATAAATGTCAACCATTATGAAAACAAGTCCATTTCATCATTTCATTTTTTGGGTTTGGAAAACGAAATCGACTGTTTCTGTAGTCGGTGTAACCATGAACATAACATTTTTTTACCTTTTATTCTATTTTGTTCCATTTCTACGATGGTAAAACACAATTTTTACAATTAAGATGATAATAACCAAAACCAAACACAAATCTGAATTTGAAATATGGCGTCCCAATCTAAATTGATCTATCTAAATTAAATTTCGCCACAGCACATGCGTCTCCACCTCCCACCTAACGTGACTAGTAGCGCCGCCGCCATTAAGAACGGATGGGCCCATGCAAAACACTATCCCCTCCGTCCTATTCTACTTACACTACTATTGGGTATGTTAATTACTATTTATAACTGGGAATAAGCCACAATTAAAGATAAAAAATACGTTTATTGACGTTTCAATTTCCAATTCGGAAATCGTTCTCAAAATACAAACAGTAAATTTTTGAGTATTTTGAGAACGATTTCCGAATTGGAAATTGAAACGTCAATAAACGTATTTTTTATCTTTAATTGTGGCTTATTCCCAGTTATAAATAGTAATTAATTTACAATGCCACAAGAAAATAGCTTCAGAACAATATTGGGTATGTATTGTGACCATAGATAACTGAATAAATCTTAGAACATAAAATACACACAGTATATTTTATGTTCTAAGGAATAAATACTGAAATGAAAATGACAATAGCCGCAAATGTCAACCATGGAACAAAATCTTTCGGTTTGGCTGTGTTCGGACGCTTTTATATTGCATAATAAGTTGTATACTTCAAATATAAAGGGAGAAAGTTTTTAAAAATTACTTTTGATTATATTATGTCACAAAATACCCACAAAATAAAATAACCCACTAGCCCACTCTGCTTGTCAAGATAAGTACGCGCATCTCGTTCACGCAGACGGAATCAGCCATGTTTTAAACGAAATCAGTGTTGTTCAGTGAGCAATAAAAGTTCAGTGGTAGCGTGTGTTGGGATGTTTACTATTTGGGATTAGTGTTATTATATAAATCAGTGGTTCCTAAATGGTGGTCCCCGGAACCCTGTTCTTCGACTTTTCTTTTAATTAGAATTGTTGACATCGTTACTTCGATCTCTTTCTCCTCTTTAAAATGTTGGCTTTCCTTTATTTAATAAGACCAAGTTCATAGCTTAAATTACTTCAACCCATTTGTCTCCCCTTTTATCGTGTGCTTCTACTCTCCAAAGTATTGACTTTGCATTGAGGTCTTCCGCTATTAGTAACTTATCTTTCCTGGCTAGGTGGTTCGCTATATCGTCAACGTTGTTTTGATATCCCAATATTGTGTTCATTCCACTCTGTAAATCATAAAAATCGAAAATAGTTCCTATCTTTTTGCGTTTTAAAATATTAAACTATCAGACCTCAATAGTATGTTTATAATTGTTAAGTGCCGCTTAACACACTCTATGAGGGCAACGGGAAACCACCTAGAGCCTAATTTTCCCAAGAAACAATCATGGAAATGGCTGATAAATACAACGGCCTCGAGTACGGGCGCTCCTTAAATTGAGCAGGGGTGCTAAAAATCTCCCAATCAGCTAGAAACATGAACACATTTTCTAAAGAAAGAAAAATAGGTACATGGAATGTAAGAAGCATGTACGAACCAGGAAAAATTCACACCATTAAAGAAATGAAGCGTCTAAATATAAGTATCCTTGGAAAGTGAAATGAGATGGCCAGGGTCTGGAAAAGTAACTGTAGATGATCACATTATATACTATTCAGGAGAAGATAGCTCAAAACACAAAAATGCTGTAGCAATAATTGTGTCGAAGGAAACAGATAAAGCTGTAAAAATCGTCGTCCTATTTTCAGACAGGATACTGATGATACAAATACAATCAACAACAATCAATGTGAACATATTTCAAATATATGCACCCACACAAGACTATGAACAAGAAAAAATTGAAAAATTCTATCATGATTTAGAAGAAAAAGTATTAGCACCTACAAAGAAATACGATCTCAAAATCATGGGAGATTTTAATGCAAAGATTGGTGAAGGTGAACAGGAAGATATTATAGGAAAATATGGTCTGGGAATACGAAATGAAAGAGGAGATATGTTGGCATCTTTTTGTGTAGAAAAGCAATTAGTAATAACAAACAGAATTTTCAAACTTCCAAAACGTCGTCTTTACACCTGAAAATCACCAGCAGATACAGATGAATGAGTTGTTCGTAACCAAATAGACTTCCATATGTATAAATAAGAGATACAGAAATTCAGTATTAGCAGTAAAAACATATCTAGGCGCAGATGTATTAACAGATCACAATATTATAAGAAAAATAAGACTGAGTTTAAAAAGTTTTGCAAGGACGAATAAGCAAACAGCTACTATTGATAGAGAAAAGATGTTAAATGATACTGTAAAACAAGAAATAACTAGTATATTAAAACAAAAAATGAAGTTAACATCAAACAAAGAGGAAAGTACTGAGAAAAACTGGACGAGAATTAAAGACATCTTAAAGACTGTTCAAGAAACAAAATTGAGTGCGCTAAAAGCAAGAAAAACACAAGGGTGGATGACAGAAGAAATACTGAAACTTATGGATCAAAGAAGAGAAGTCAGAAATAAAGATAAACACGAATACAAGAGGATTCACGCAATAATCAGGCACAAGATAAGACACGCGAAAACACAATTTCATAGTAAAGAATGTAATGAAATTGAACAATATGAAAAGAAACACGATACATCTGCACAAGAAATTAAAAGAGGTCGCCGGAAACAAACAGAAACAAGTATCCCAAAGTTTAGAAGACAGAAACGGACACAGAATATTAGACATCAATTAACAGTTAAAAGAATGGGAATACTACATTTCTGAATTATTTAAAGATGAGAGAGTAGAACACTATACACCGATTATTATCAGGTCCATCTATAACAGAAAGTGAGGTTACACGTTCAATACAAACGGCAAAAAATGGAAACGCACTTGGTCCCGATGAAGTAAGTGCTGAAATACTAAAGTTTTTGGGAGAAAATGGAATTAAAGCTCTTTGTAATCTCTTTAACAGAATTTATGACATTGGGATATTACCTACTAATTGGTTAAAGTCGACATTTGTCACAATACCTAAGAAACATCGTCCAAAGACATGCGATGATTATCGGACAATAAGTCTGATGAGTCACGTTTTGAAGATCTTCCTGCGAGTAATACACAGCAGAATTTACACGCTGTTAGAGGACATAATTAGCAAT